GCTATGTACGCTGGGTTAGGGCCAATTCTAAGCCACTGACTTTGGTTGCTAGCCCCACCGAACCTTACCCCGTGGGATTAAGCCAATAGGAAACCTTTAAATAATGGACACTGCGGGAATTGAACCCACGACCTCGGACCTACCCAGTCCGCGCTCTGACCACCAAGCCAAGCATCCAACTTGCCCAGGAATCGAACCCAGGCTCACGCGAAGCCAATCCAGCGGTGAAACCACTAGACTAAATACGCATGTGTGATGGGAAAGTACAGACTTAGGATATATATCAATGAGCCTTAGGAGGGAAGTAGTGTAATGAGCCAATAATATTATTGGATAAACCCAATAATATTATTGGCCTTACCACTTTGAAATAGCCAATAGCGAATGGATTACAACTATTGGCTATTGGAACATGAAAAGAGAAAGGGATTCAAAGGAAAACTTTTCTCTAAAAAAATATAAAAAGGGCTTGATATTTCATGGAAATATCAAGCTTTTCAATTAGTTTCCTTATATTTTAATATTCTTAGTCCTTTAAAATACATTTATTATTCACCATTCCAATCCTTACACCACCAATGATTATAGATAAATAACTAAATGTGGATATCTATAAATAAGAATCATTTTTTATAAATAGGTGAATAATAGATTCTATGTTTCCATAGGTATGTAGTTATACTACAAAAACTAATGACTTAATGTATTTATTCTAAAAAATTACGAATTTACGGTTGAAAAAAAAGGTTTTATAAATAATCAGCAAATAACAAGTGGTTTTTTTGTTATTGATAAATAAAACTTTAGTTATCTTGTCCTACAAATAAAGTACAATTGATATGTTTATAGATTCTTTTAAGAAATTGTACTAAAACTAGAAAAACGCAGTTCAGAGTGAATCTTTATTTTTGTGTGATATCCAATCTAAAACAGATAGAGATCCCTTTTTTTATTTCTTCTTAATATAACTAAATTAAAATAAACTATTGATCTATATAAAAAGTTTGACTCTTTAGTAAAACGTACTTTAGGTTGAATCTGTAGTATAAAAATCCAATGTAGAAATTAACCAATGAAGTTAGATTCTAGTTTCTTATTGTTCTTAGTTTTGTACAAAGATTAATTTGTACGATTTTGACATTTTATATGACAAAAATAATAAGTACAACTTAAAAACAGACTAGTATAAGTTTCAATGTTATTTTAGATTTGAATATTTATATCAAAATCTTTAATTAATTTAGATAAATCTTATTGACAATTCTAAAAATTGTTTGTAAAAAACAAAAAATAATTTTTTTTGTTAATTTTTTAATGTAAATAAAAACCAAATATCACTTAAAATTTCTAGATGTTTTAGCTTTACTGCTACAAAGTTGAATGAAGTCAATTTTTGTTTGGATCTGATATGTTATCAAATATTCTTGATTTTTGATAATAAAAATGACTTAGAGTTCAAATATTTAATTAATTTCAGAAATAATACATTAAAAATGCAATTTATATCAATAGTTTATACAAAAAAAAACTAGTTTATTGATAAAAGTTTGAGATTATTGGTTTTATAGAAAAAACTTTTAAATTCCTGTTAGTTGATTTGTTTATATTTATTTAAAATATTTGTTTTAATTTTAAATCACCTGTATAATTATCTAAATTATTTTTTTGAATAAAACGAGGGTATTTAAATAACGTTGTTTGTTATTTCATAAAGTTTTTGTATTAGAAATATTAATCTTTTGTCCAAAATAAATTTAAACTACAATTTTTATAAAGTTAAAATCTTGTCTTTAATATTTGTATTATTTGGATGTTTGTTAAAAAATTGTTGGATTTATTTTTTAAAATTTTATTCATTGAAGTTTTTATGAAAATTGATTTATTTTTATATTATAAAAGACCACAAAAAATTCACACTTAAAATTTGTATATTTTTTAAATATATTTGTATTTAACAAAATAAACACTCAAAAATTATACACTTGATATGCTATTAATAATTTTCTATTTTTTTCATCCTATTATTAAATTATATTTATAGCAATCTATATTTAAACATTATATTTGAAAGTCTAGAAATAGATATACATATGAACAATAACTAACTTTTAGAAAAGTTAAGCTTTGGTTAAAAAAGTA